GTATGTGTGTGTGTGTGTGTGTGTGTGTGTGTATATATATATATATATATATATATATATATAAAACATGCTTATATCTATGTGTACAGTATGTTAATTTTCCCCTTATTTATACAAGTATGAATTGCTCTTCTGAACATTTTCTGGCTCATCAATACATCTTGGAGGTCTTTCCGTATAGTACATAAAGAAGTTTATTATTATTATATTACTATTTTAGGATTTTGCCATAGAGTATGTGTGCTCCCAGAGAGAGAGAGAGGGGAAAGACGAGAAATCACCCCCCTAGGGCAATGACCACACTGCAATCTCTTTTCTTCAATTTTCCTCTCAGGATTTTAGGCACACACACACAAGTGCCCAGCATATTTTTCAAGTCACTGGGTCCGAGATGTGAACAGTAGAGTTGACTATGTGGGATCTAGTGCTTTAACCAACCACATCACCTGCTGACCCAAGAACTTTATTATTTTAAATAGCTATTATTAGCTATTTAATAGCTATATATTATTAGCTATTAATTATTATTATTAGTTATTATTTAATAACTAAAAAATTCTGTCATTGTGTGGAAATACTTAATCCTATATCTCCATTACTAGTCATTTAGGTTGTTTCTAGTCTTTTGGGTTTTTTTTGTTTTGGGGGGGTTTTTTTGGAGAGATTTTTGCTATAGGGCGCCCGCGCTCGCAAGACAGACAGAGAGAGACAGAGAGATAGAAAGCGAGAAACCACCCCCCAGGGGGATGGCCATGCTGCAATCCCTTCTCCATTTTCCTCTCGGGATCTTGGGCACACACGCACACGCACCCGGCGTGAGTTTAAGTCACCAGGTCCGGGACTTGAACCGAAGTCGACTACGTGGGAGTCCAGCGACATAACCATTACGCTAACTGCTGGTCCCTAGTCTTTATTATAAACAATGCTACAGAGAATAATCTTATACACAATCATTTTATATGTGTTTATGTCTTAAATAGGGGTAGAATTTCTAGGTTAAAGAATATATTCATGTGTCATTTTAGCCACATACTGACAAATTATTCATAAGGATTATACCAGTTTACTTCCAACAGTTCATGAAAAGTATTTATTCACAGATTTAGCATCAGAGAATGCCATTAGACTTGGATTTTTGCCAGGTGGTTATGACAGATGATAATTTTTTTATTATGTTGATTTGAGCATCTGTATCTATGTTTAACATCCACTTACAGTTCCTTTTTGGTGATTATAATTTTTGCATATTTTTTATTGGTGTTTTGGATTACTGTCTTACTGTTTTCTAAGAATTATATTTCAGGAGATTTTTCCATTTCCCTGTAAGTTACAAATATTTTTTAGTTTGATTTGACATTTGATTTTCATCATGCAGATTTAATAATAGGTATATACATATATGTTTCTAGGACTAAATGGTAGCATGGTGATTAAGGCAGTTGGATCCTATATGGCAAACTGTGTGGTTCAAGTCTCAGACCTGGCAGCTTGAAAGACGTGCCAGATGCATGTGCTTCCGTGGGTGACCCAAATCCCAAGAGTAGAATGGAGGAGAAGGGATTGTGTCATGACCATCCCTCTTAGGGGGTGATTTCTGACCTTCCCTTTCTCCTCTTTTTGTCTCTCTCAGGCAAGTGCACCTGCCTTATAGCAAAAACTATAAACTAAAAAAGAACTATAAATGGAAGGATCTTCAGAAAAGTTCATAGAGAGGTTGGCTCTGTAGCTCAACAGTTGAGAGCCAGATTCCACATGGCTAACTTTGGTTCGATCTCAGCTGCAACAGCTTGAAAAATGTGTGTGATTGCGCACATGCCCCAAATCTTGACACTATAGGAGAAGTGGAGAAAGAAGAGTTGTGCTGTGGCCATATCCTGTTGGGAAGTGCTGTTTCTCTCTCTCTCATGTGTAAGTGCATGTGCCCTCTGGCAATTAAAAAATTTCATGGATGTACATACTATGAAAATGCTATGTATTTTCAAAATGTTTTTACACCAAAATAGACTTGTACTAACTTACTATAATATGTCTGAACATGATCTAGTTTGAAGTGTTAATGATAAGATACCAATTTGAAAAGAGCCCGTTTCAGCACAAAATGAATTCTAAAATTGAAGCAGTAACAAACTTCAAATTTATGGTGAAATTGTTGGTTTATGAAAAGTTGATAGAGCAATACCCCAAAGAAATCAGTAATTAGGAGTTTACAAATGGATAACTCTTTTTAGGAAAGGATGAGATAAGGTTGAAGATGATACCAGCAGTGGCAAACCCTATCAGTTTGCAAAAAAAAATTAATCTTGTTCATACCCTAACTGAAGAGAACTGATCATTCATAAGGAGCAATAACCAACACCAGACATTTCAGTTGATTCAGCTTATAGAATTCTGACTGAAAATTTGAGTTGAGCAAAATTCTGCTCAATTGGTGACAACCTTTTGGACCCAGATAAGCTACAAACTAGAGCAGAGCTTTCGATGGAATTTTAAACAATGTCAAGATTATAAAGAATTTCTTTCAAGAATTTCAGTAGGAGGTGGTGACACATAACTTTACGTGTACAATCTTGAAAGCACAAAGCAGTGACTACCAGGAGGTGAAGGTGTTCTAGGCAAAGCAAAATTGGACCAGTCAACAGCAAAGGTCATGTCAACAGTTTGGGGAGATGCTTAAGATGTTTTGCTTGTTGACTTTCTTGAGGGCTGAAGAATAAGATCTACTTATTATAAGATCATTTTGACATAAAAGCTGAACCTTTTGCAGGAAAGTATATCACCAGAGAATCCTTCACCACACAATGCTTCTCATTCTCATTAAGTTAGGGCAGTTTTGTGTTTCTATAGGAAGTTATTAGGCATCCACCTTACAGTCCTGATTTGGCACCTTCTGATATTTTAAAAACACAACAAAAACACCTCAGAGAGTAACCATTTTTCTTTAGTTAATATAAAAAGGACTGCTGTGACATTTTAAAATTCTCAAGACCTTCAGTTCCTTAGAGGTGGATTAAATGGCTGATACAGCTTATGAAAGCGTCTTCAATTGAGTAGAACTTACGTTGAGAAATATCATTTATACTTTTATCCTTTATTTCCATTTTCCATAATTTTTTGAAATCCCTTCTTAAAGATGACTTTCACAATAATGCCATCTATAATTTTATTTTTGTGTTTAGATCATTGATGCAATTAATGACCATAGAATGAGATTATCAACAAGTCATTATCCTTTTAAAATTTTCTTTAATGGGTTATGAATATTACTGTATCTAAAAATGTTCAAATATATTTGTCTTGTCATTTTATTGCCCCCCTCCCAATTCTCTACTTCTCAACGCTTCCCCTTTCCCTTGAATCTAGTATAATACCATACTCTTGATTTGGTTAAGAAAATGAAATTCTAAACTGACAGCAGATAAAATCCCAATCTGTTTCTAAATTGGGAGTCAGTTTTTGTTCATAAACTTGAGACGTAGAGAATTGGGAGTAGGGTAATAAAATGACAAGATTAGGTTTATAGTATTTATGGAAAAACTGTAGAGAAGATACTCTGAAATTGATTGCTATATTAAAAGTGCATGGTGTGGAATGAAACTGTCAAAATGTTGGGGCTTTTTGTTTGTTTGTTTTTTTGAGAGGTTTTTGCTTTAGTGCACATGCACTCACCAGAAAGAGAGAGAGACAGACAGATAGAAAGTGAGAAATCACCCCCCAGGGGGGGTGGCCACACTGCAATTCCTTCTCCTTTCGGGATCTTGGGCACGCACACACATGCCCAGCATGAGTTTAAGCCACCGGGTCCGAGACTCAAATCGTGGTCAGCTACATGGGAGTTCAGCGGCATAGCCATTATGTTAACTGCTGGTACTTTTTTTTTTTTTTTTTTTT